GAAAAAACGACAGAGCTTAGACTTCTGTGGAGGGCAATAGTAAACCTTTTTAAAGACTGTAAAAGGCAGCACCAAAGCTTGTTAATGCACTTGTAAATATTACACTAATTTTCCTTTGGAAGCCAGAGCACATTTGTATAAATTATGGTGAATGAACAATTTCAACACATTCGGAAACCCACACAGCTGTATATTTCTGTGTCGGTCAGAGAGAAGCTGACCACTAATGAAGGTTCCTGTCAGCCTGCACATGATTGGTATGACCCGGTCAGTACTGGTCAAAGCCCATGAGCTGTCCTAGGCAAGAGGCCACCAATGTCACCTATTGGGTTGACCGGCCCTGGAACCGGTCAAGTAATAATAACGTGCAAACTGCTGGTTTGTAAAAACAAATGCTTATGTGGAAATCATTTGGGACAAAAGCAGTACATCACAATCATTAATGGCCATTTGTGCTGAAGTTCAAAACATTTCTGTTCAGCTATACACAGTAAACGGTCTGGGTCATCTTACAACTTCATGTTAGAAAAATCCCGCTTTGCTGGCTGAATGACAAATGGCACAGACAGAGGGTACCTGAAGCACTGCAGATAATGTCTGCCTGTGTTGGGTGGCTAACTTTGGATTAGAAAGGCAGAATTCAGGTATAAGCCTCCCTTACGAGTCTGTGTATGTCCAACAACTGGTTAATGAGGCCTCTCAACAGACTAAAATAGTTGTTTTTGCCATTTTGACCAATTAACACCAAGCTACAACAGGAAACATTGCAGGAGGTCTATAAAAGCCAATCATAATCAATCTCTCACAGATGAGCCAATCATAGGCAATCTCTCACAGATGAGCCAATCATAGGAAATCTCTCACAGATGAACCAATCAAAAGAAATCTCTCACAGATGTACTTCGGTGTAAAATGTCACCTGTCATCAGTGCAAAAATAATAATGAAACTATAAAGCAGGTAATGAGAACATACAGTCACTGAGCACTGGATTAGGAAAACATGTATACCTGCTTATTAGCGGTGTAACAGTACACAAAAATCATGAAGTGACGGTTCGGTGTGTTTTAGGTACAGCGGAAGTAAAAAAAAAAAAAAAAAACATAAATTGCTTCTTTCTTTATTAAACAGTGGTTTACTGAACAAAGTATGACTGCCTTTCTTAAATACAAAGTCTCTGTCAATACTGCAGCAACCTACTTGTCAGCATCGGGATCCGACGAACCAGAACACAGGAGAGTTGCAGCCAGAAGTTCAGGTAACGGGGTTTATTTAGGACGGGACAGACAGGCAAGGACATCCAACGTGACACCACAATGACAAGTCTGGGGAAGACTGACTCAGACGAGGACTAAATACAAAAGACAAGCTAGACTTAACAGGACACAGGCTATCACAATTAGGGCTGAACACGAGGTAACGAGGTGGGCGTGGCACACATCGGGAGCGGACGGAGCGGGGCGTGACACTACTAGTGATAAACTAATATTTATTTAAAAGTATTAAATATTCTCTCATATAAATAAAAACAAAATAAATATCCATTAATGTGCACATTTAGAAAATTAACTACACCTGATCTGTACTATATATAAGCACAGAAGAGCTTGCTGAGTTCCTCTCCTGTCAGCAGTGAGTGTATATACATCTTTAAACCACTTATCTACCTTAGGGTCATGTTGTTAGGCAGCATACAACACTAGACTGGAGTACACCTTGGATGCAATATTTAATACTTAATTTAAAAATAAATACATATTTTGTTTGATAAATACAACACTGGGGCTCCCATCAGTCTTGGAGCTAAATATCCCCGTAAAATGTAGACTAATGTCATTGCAGCTTCCTGGTCCAACTCCAGAAAGCCTTCTTGGGCGTTTGAGTGGCCTTCTCACTGACCCACATCTCTGCAGTGGACATCTGGGCCCAGAGCTCAGTGGACC